GTGTGTGTGTGTGTGTGTGTGTGTGTGTGTGTGTGTGTGTGTGTGTGTGTGTGTGTGGTTCGCCAGGGCGTCAGGGCGGCTGAACTCGGTGTGTGAGGCCTCCTGCCGGCTCTCCTTCCTCCGTAATATCCCTGACACCCCTACAACCTTTTTTGGAAATACTTACAGCAGTGTCCGAGACTCTGAATCCCCTGCCACTCTCGGACTCGAAGCTCAGCAGTACGCTGCACGCTTCTTCTTTAACCACTTGAGACTTAACTCCTTGGGATTGTAGAACCTAGATTTTGAACGCTGCACGCTTCTTCTTTAACTGCTTGAGAATTTGAGACTTAGAAAAGTTTCTTCTTCAACTCCTTGACCTTGCGAAACCTAGATTTCCATGGCTTCCCTGTGCTTCGCCCCAGTTACCCCCCTCCTACGAACAAGTTTTGAAAGACTGAGTTTACCTGGGAGTAACTGATTCCCTACTGTAATCTGCACACTTCGTAGCTGCTACTTCTTTGACTACTAGATATCTGGCAACCTACACTTTGAAGTTTTTCTTGCGCTTCCTCCTCTCAACCCCCTCCTGTGCGCAAGGGTTTCAAAAAGATTGATCGAGTTTGAACCGGGGACTCGGGGAGGGAAAAAACTATGCCCGCCAGGACAGAACCTGAAGCTAGAGCCTGTGGCAATCCACCGTGAATCACCACGAGAAGCTCAATCCCTCCAAAGGATCTGTACATACAGCACCCTACTCTTCTTCCTGCATGTGACTCTTGTGCCCAACTATCAACGACTTCTGCTCGGAGGAGTGCACATTGTGGTGTGGAAGAGCAAAGAGGGGCGGAGGGGGTTGGTGGGGGGGGGGGATGGGAGGAATGCCCAAATGGACAGTGTGCCATCGGGAGAAGAAATTCAAAAGGGCGAAGGCAAAACAAATGGCCAGAGGGAGACAGACTTGCGGAAGCAAAGCTCCGAGAATGCCAGCATCGCGTCATCGTTGATGCTGGCACAACTTGAATGAAAGTCAATGGAGCAGATAAAGACATGGTGTGGGCTAGCTCTATGGAAATAGAAGACGGTGGAGATGGCACGGCAACAAGAAAAACAGCGAGGGAAATGGAAAATATCATCCCTTGCTTGCCTTTAAAAAAAGTGCATCACTGATGCTTCAGTTCCCATTTTTCTTTTAATTGAACCATTTCTCAATTAATGTGTGTCATCCTTGCGCAGGGGCCATGCTAATCTTCTCTGCATCCTTCCAATTTTAACAAACGTCCCCAAGGACAAGTCGTCTCATCTCTAATCTTCCATCTAGCGTCAAACGAGGGTGCAAACTCCGATCATTGCGAAGTATCGCTGTTCGGTATATCTCAGTATATCACCAATTGCCAGAAGACTCGAAACCATGACCCCTGTCATCAAAGAACTTCAAGGAAGCCTAGACTGGAAACAGTGGAAAGTGATGTAATCTCATGGAACTTACTGAGGCTGAGATGCGAGTTATCGGCAGTTTATCACGTTTGCAGCTGTATGTCGCCTTTGCCAAATGGCGACTAGCCATCAACTGTGCCATGGCTGAGGAAGGGAATTCCAATTTGCAGACAACAAATTTACCAATTATCAAACCCTCGAATGCTCGAACACAACTCCGGTTTAAATGCCAGCACTTGTTGGATTCACATCCCCTTTTTCAAAGTGACGCACTTGTGGGTTCGAGTCCCTTTCTTTCCCAGCCTCTCAGAACATAACCAAGAAGGATTCTGCACTAAGGCCAGGGAGATTGAGGGTTCAAATCCTTTTTTCCGCTCGTCCAAATGTAGAGCACATCGCGTCGAGCTCCACACACGCTCTTGCGTGCTAGACCATTCGTCCCCATCACAATACAAGGAACCGAAACAGGTCTAGAATCTCCCCCCTCCCTCCCCCTCTCCCCATGTTTTGCCTGTAAACCACGACACCACACACTAACCTGTCGGCTTTACTAAGGTGAACCCAACGGCAAAGGCGGGTGGAATACAAGGATGTAAATCATGACGTTGGGGCTATACAAGGATATGGTTACAAATCAGTCCCGCATCGAGCCCACAAAAAATCGGAGATGATGACAAAGGAACCGACTGCCAGGCCTCCTACAGAGCCTACCTAAGCAAACAATACACAGGTTAGGTGTTACGACTCCCCCCACACACAAATGAATCAGTTAGACTATTTGCCATTTGCACAAAAAATGGCAGGCAACTCAATATTGTCTAGCATCATAAGAGAGCTCTAAGACGTGTACAAGCTCAAACAACAAGAGCAGGTAGCGATATGCTGCAGGTCGGGCTTTTGTGTCACATCATAGTATCGTTATTTTTCTCACGTCCATAGGAAGTAACACGTTGTTTGAGCATGTTGTTCTCGGTGTTCCCGCCATCCCTATCTCATTGCATTGTTGTCAGAGAGCTCTGCAGATGGCGCTCGAGTTTGTGAAACTGTGAAACTGACTGGTGCACCGTTCTCGGTGAATGGTTTGAACAATTGCCCTTCCGCATCTGGTTGTGGTAGAGCGCCATCCATGCCCGATGGCTGGCGCCTCCACTTTACAACGCTCATTGAGCGAACAGGTACGCCCTTTGCCCAAGCAAAGTCTGTGCAATGAGAGTGCAGGAGTAAGCACAAACATCACTCTATCCTCGCATCACGGCATTCGCAGTGGCGTTAGCCAGATACGACCGCAATGCCCATCCAGGCGATAAAGAAAAAGCAGACCTTGTCATCTTCGGCTGCTGAGCACCCTCCCTCCCTGAGACGAGCGCTGGGCTGAATCATAGCTCCCTGGCGCCATTTACAAGGTGCGAGCTTTTTAGCAAATGTACATACGTATGTGTTCTGTTCTCTCCCTTGTTGACAGTACCTGCAGGCAGCTGAGGCATGACTTTTTCCGGCCAGTGAAGAAACCGTACCCGTGGACTCTATCTATGGTGGACTGCACAGTCTGCAGCGTGCGTGACATCACCGGAGGAGTTTTGACCGAGCTGCACCAGCACAAACTGGAAAGAAAACACTTGATTGCTCACTGAATCATCCTCATCTACAATGCTCACACTTTGCACCTGACGTGGCACGATTTGCATCTGCCACTGCCAACCACCTTCCCAATTTATCTACACTCCGATTTACATCTCCATCTCCATCTCCATCCATTATTGCTCTCTCTTCCACCGTGTCACGGTGCCACCGTGTCAGAGCCCACAAGGTTTGTCACAAATCCCAAAAAAATCCTTCTTCACAAAGTGTGGGGCAAAAGGGAAAAAAGGATGACAGCCAGCTCACTATCACAACCAACCCCTGAAATTCAGGCCCAGGTCACCAAATAATACTTTGTCACTTTGTGGGCCTGACTGAGCAATCCATATCCGTTTGCAACGTACAATCTCTTCAGCCACGTGTGCAACACGAGGAGCCTAGATGAAAACCCCTACAGCAGCCATAATACCCAGACCGATGAGGACCAACACGAGCTGAACCCACCGATTATGTTCATGAGGGCTTGAGCCTCCCCCCAGCTGAAGCAGAGCAATGTAGAGAACAGTACCTGCAAAACAAAAGACAAAAGTGACACCACATGCGAAACGAAAGACAAAAGTGACACCACATGAATATAAATATTTCAGAGGTCTGAATGGGCAACTGACCCAACCATTTCGAACCTCTCCATTTCAGTGTCTCACCTACCCACAGGATGTGCAGCTTCTTTTGAAGTTTAAAACAAGGAGGAGAGGAGTGAGTACTTAGAATTATTGTTATCCATTTCGACTTGAACTCATGATTCGTTCACCAATAGATACAGGTGTGCGGTGTGCACAGCTCAGCCACAAACTTAGCACAAAGGATGTCAGCATTGTCAAGCTTTCAGCAGTCATATCAGACTGACTACGAGGCACCCCAAGTCACTTTTGAAAAGGCGTAGATTTCCCTCCTCCCTCCGCCATTTTCAACTGCCATCTTTCATCTCCTCCCTCCCCCCTCCACCATCTTCCACCTCCTCCGTCCGCCATCTTCCACCTCCTCCCTCTGCCATCCACCATCTCCTCCCTCCGCCCTCCACCATCTTCTCCCGCCACGGCTCCCTCCTCCCTCCACCATTTTCCACCTCCTCCCTCCTCCCTCCGCCATGCTCCATCCACTATCTAGCACCTGTTCCCTCCTCTCTCCGCCATGCTCCATCCACTATCTAGCACCTGCTCCCTCCTCTCTCCGCCAGCTTTCACCTCCTCCCTCCACCATGTACCATCTCCTCCCTCCGCCCTCCACCATCTGCGACCTCCTCCCTCTGCCATTTTCCACCTCCTCCGTCCTCCCTCCGCCCTCCGCCATCTCCTCCCTCCTCCTCCCGGACGTGGCGCACCATCTTCTTCCACCACTCTACTTTTTGTCTGAATGAGGATGCCGCCCAGCCGGGCCTGCCCTGCCGGGCTGGGCCCAGCCGGTTGGGCCCGTGGGGGCTGCCCGGGTAAACCGGGCAGGACAAAAAAACGGCCAGAATTTTTTTTATTTTTTTTTGAAACCGGGGTCGTTCTGCGCTCGGCGAGAGGACCCCGAATCTGCAATAAAATTTTGGCTTTGGTGGGGGGATGGGGGGGTTGG